ATTATTTTTTACATTTGAAGCTATTAAAGTTTTTTAGATATTAGCTCTAAAGTCCTGTTGTATTCAAAATGTCTAATTGTTGAAAAGTCATGATGAGCTTAAAAAAATATATAATTATATTTTATCTTTTAAAATACATAATTATTCCTTGAAATAGAAAAAATTATTCTTAAACTCAAACTTGGAAGTATCATAGAACTTAAAAGAATTATTCTTAATATCATAAACAAGAGGATCAAAAGACACACTTGATTAAATTTGCTTGAAAAATGTTAAATCAAAAGTTAATGTTGATTTCATTGCTCAAAGATAAAAATGTTTTGGCTTGAAGATAATTATTTTTTGTCAATTAAAAGCTCTATCTCCTTTAGATACAAGATAAAAATTTCTAAAATAATTATTTGATAATTTTTATTTTTTTAATCAATAAGTGATTTTGAAATCAAATCTTAATAAAGAGACTGAAATAAATCCATGATTTCAAGAAACTCTATGTTGTAGATTTTGTAGTTGATCTTAGTTGCTAAAATGTTTTTAGAATGGAAAGCTATTGGATAGAATTTTTTATCTATTCCTATTTGTGATAATATCACACTATAGCAAAGGTTGATATATCTATTTTTATAAAAAATATTTTAAAAAAGTCGGTATGATTCAAAATTGATATAAAAAATAAATGTTGTCTTTAAGGCTTAAATAATGCTTTAGCTTCTTTATTCTACTCAAGTTTGTCTTTATAGATCAAACTTAAAAGAAGAGCCATAACTTGAAAAAAATTCTTGAAGAAGATCTAGTAACAATTAGGAAATTCTAAAAAATATTGCATATTTTTTGGTGATTTTGGAGACTTTGAATCTATGATAGTTTGAATCTTTTTAGGATCTTTTATAAAGCCATTGTTTGAAATGATGTATCCTAAAAAATCAACTTAAATAGTATGAAATACATACTTTTTCATCTTGGCATATAATCTTATATTTCTAAGTTTTTATAATATGCAATAAACATGAAGTTCATGATCTTTTATATACTTAGAATAAATTAAAATTTCATCTAAATAAATAAATAAATAAATAAATAAATAACTATATTATCAAAAAATTCACAAAAGATATCATTTATTACATATTAAAAATAATTCATGCATTTATAAGTCTCAAAAGGCATGACATTATATTCTAAATGTCCATACTTGGTTCAAAATATAATTTTTTCTTCATTTCTTTCTTTGATGCATATCAATTTGTATGTTCTTTGTAGATCTATTTTGGTATATATCATTATGTGATTGAATTGATCAAAAACTCTTGAAATTAATTATAAAAGATATCTATTTTTAATAGTAATCTTATTGAGTCCTTGATAGTCTACTTACATTCACAAAGATCCATCTTTTTTTTTTCACAAATAAGATAAGAGCTTGTATTTGAAATTTAGAATGGCATATAAAGTTTTTAGTCAAGTTCTTGTTAATATACTCTTTGAATGCAGCTAACTTATTTTGTAATAAATTACAAATTAATCCAAATGGTGATTGAACTTATTTATGAAAATCAATAGAACAGCCATATAAGCAATGTTTTGGAAGAATGTTTTTATTTTTTTCCTCAAAAATATCTTAATAACCTTAATACTAACTTAAAATGCCACTTAATGTCTTTTCTCTATTAAAAATAAGTATAGCATATATATATATATATATATATATATATATATATATATATCAAAAGTTGATATTTTTTTGTAACATGTATGAAAGATCTTGTACTTACTAATAAGAATTTGGTTGTATTGGACTTATGGTTTCTACTTAACTAATAGAATATTGGGCTAAACAATAAATAAAATGAAGGTTGAATGAAATCTAGTATATTTAAAGATTATACTTTTCTAGCTATCATAATCCTAAAATAATAAAGTTGAAAGGAAATCTAATTATATTAAATATTATTAAGTTGTTATGATCATTAGTTGTTATATTTAAATATTTAATTTCATAGATAACATCTCCAAAAGACAACAAACAAGCATCTATAGCTTCTATATGAATGGATTTGATTTTTTTGATTGAGAATATTTTTTGTTTTTTAAGAAATTCTTTGTTAATAAAATATGTTGAGACTCTTGAATCTAACAAAAAAAAGACTTTGTGATTTTTTGATCCTTAAAAAACTTCTATTTTAAAATAAGATGAAGGATCTAAAAAGTGAATAGAATCTTTATTAGATGTTGTACAAGGTTTTAACTATACAATTCCTATTGTAGTTGAAAAAACTCTTTTTTCTACATATTGTTCTCTTTTGAAACCATGCTCCTTATTTTAAGATTATATTGCTTCTTTGGACAATATTGAGCAATGTGCTTAGGTTCTCCATAATATAAATATAAATCTTCTTAATAGCAACAAGTCTTTTTTTGTTTAGTAAGAGATTTGAAACATATTGTATCAATTTGCATAGATTTTGGTCTTGATGAATAAGCTTCTATGAAGTTAGGAGCTATTATCATGATTTGAATTATATTTCTTCAATCAAATATTTGTTTTTGGTATTTTTCAAAGAGACAATTTTTGCACGCAATGGCTTGAGCAATAAATTATTTTAATTAGTCTGTTTTGGCATTGTCAACAATAAATTCATAACATTATTTTTTAATTCATATTCAAATTGATTAATAAGAGCTTTGTTATTTCAATCCACATTTCAAGCAAGATTTTGGAATTCAACAATATATATGGTGAATGAACATGATTCTTCTTATGAAGGTACAAGTTTAATCTTTGCTATCTTTTTTTGATCATTTTTTCCAAATATGATCATAAATACTTTCAAGAATGAATTTAAATTATAGAATAGTCATAAGTTTTTTACTATTGAAGGTGCAATTCAAGTAAGAGCACTTCTAAATAGAAATGCACCTATAAATTTGATTTAAATAAATCCATTAGGATATTGAAAAGAATGTAATTTTAGATAGAACTTTATTTGTTGTAAAAATCATCAAAATTTTGATCTTGTTCCATCAAACTTCTATGGCATACTTATCCTTGCTTCCCTTATACTTGTAATAGCAAGGCTTATTGGATTCAATTGTAAATTTGATATACTTATTTATTTTTCAATTGCACACTTTTTTAGCATAGACTTTGAACTTCATTATGGACTTCAAACTTCATTGTTGATTTTAAACTTCATTGTTGACTTCTTCCATGGATGTAAAAATGATATCTCTATGCTTCACATTAGAAATACATGATCTTTTTATTTTAAGAGTGTTAATAAGTTCATGAAGATTTGTAATAATTACAAATCTATTTTTACTTTTGCTAAGAGTAGCATCCATAATTATTTCATCTATAGATAACTTGAGCAAATTCAAAAGTCAAATTAGAAGAAGATAATCTACAACTACTTATATTAAATAAAAATTTCTACAAAGAAAGATAATCATCTCTTTTCAAGAAAAAAAAATTAGTATTAGAAAACTAAATATTAGTTTAAAGGTAGTTAGTTTGCAATCTTCAAAGCACAACAATAGAAGTAAGGTAATTTACTCACTTCTAAAATAAGATAAGAAAAATAAGTTTGCACTTTTATCAAATTATTAAAGATATGAATCTCAAAGAACTAAAAGATTAATAAACTCTTTTTTCATTCAAAAAGATTAAAAAATCACTCAAAGATGATATAATATTAAATTGGAATGGCTATTACCAAAGACAAGAAGACTAAAAAGACTAAAACAAGACTAAGAACTCAAAAAGTATTGACAAGAGTGAAGAATGCTTCACTATTGCCTCCATATATATTATTTAATTACAAGTTATGTCACAACATTCTATAGAATCCTCGACATGTGTCAAAGTTGTAAGTCATATGTTTTAACTTGCAAAGCAATTTTTCTATATGCATGCCACATAATTAGCTTGTATCACAAGCTATCAACACATGCAATACATGGCTAATACATTGTCTAAGTTTCTAACCAACCAATCAACTACAAACACATGTAAAGTCAAAGCCACATCTATGAAGCTTTTAAGAAGATTTTTTACAAGATATTATCAAATTAATCTACTTTTACCTACTTTTACCTATTTATATTATCTATATAATTTTTGGAGTTAATTTATATGTTCATAACAATATTTTAGCCAATTATTAAAATTTTATTTAAAACATGAATTATAATTTGGTATTTTTGATAAACATATTTTTTATAAAAAAATAATAATAATAATAAATTAAGTTTAAATAATCTTATAACAAAGACATTTAAAAAAAAACATAAACTTTGAAATCATTTAAATTTAAATATTTGTATATGACTATGGATAGCCTTTTAACATCATGTAATATATAATAACATACTATATATATATATATATATATATATATATAGTATCTTATTATAATATTATAAAATTTTAAATAAAACATTAATTCATAAATATGTAATCAACCTTTTTAACAACAGAAATATGAAAAAAATATACATAATAATAACAAAAAATATTTAATGCAACAATTATATACAATAATTTTCTTTGAATAACACATTGTACATCACACTTCAGAAAAATACACTATCTCAGTAGTTAGTTAACAAACCAATAGTTTAGTCTTTGAAGAATGCCACATAATCAACAAGTTAAGAACCATTTCAAAGAGCACCAACCGACCAACATCAAAATGTGCATCATCATCATCATCCACTTGTCTTACTAAAATGCCATCCTGCATTAATACAACTTCCTTACTTACAGAACTATTTTGTATCAATAAAATCTATTTTGTAACACGAAAAAGACGAAAGTGGAAAGTACAAAAATGGTCTCATAAACCCCTCATTTTCCAAACATTCTGAAAAAACGCCTTTTTAATGTCGTTTTTTAAGGGATGTGGATGTGGATGTGGATGAAATATTATCGTCATCTGTACATCCATCGGTGCGAAGAGGCTATAATCCTCGGACAGCTAATAAGCTTGCGGAGAAGGACGAGGAGGAGCCCTATCAACTTTGTCTATCTCCCATTTGTTTTCACGACCCCTCGCGGTGTCGCAATTGCAATGTCGATGTTGCTCACGCGATCGCGCACCTGTACGAGGCCATCTTCGTAAGGGCAAAGCTATTACCGTCGAGATGTTGCGAGCGCTCCCCGCAGCTGCTGCCCACAGCCGGGTGCAAGAGCCTCTCTTCGCTGGGTTCGATTTCGAAGAGCGTGCGTTTCGCGAATTCAAGCAGACCGTCTCGTGCTGCAATTGTAGAACCAATTTCGGGAGATGTGGGAGCTCTCTGAGTGTGGTATGGGTGGGAATGGCCGAGAGAGATGTAGAAGCAACGAGGTTTTCGTCGAGAGGTTTAGGGTTTTGGGTGAGACGGGGTTTATGGAGACGAAGGTGTTTTGCAGAGTCGGACTCCTTCGGGGAGCTGGAGGATGTGAGCCCGGTGAGCCTGGAGGGTGTGAGTCTGGCGGAGTTGCTGGCTCAAGTTGGCGCAAGTGAGGGTAGAGACGAGAGTGGGTTGGTTCAGATCGAGTCCAATCCGCACCCTTCTTTGCTCCGCCGGTACAGGGAATTGGATAAGCCTTTCGAGAGGGGGCGAAGCTTGCCAATTCCCATGCCTCACAAATTGAATCGACCCATTCCTATGCCTCCCTCGCGCCGCAGCTTTCTTCCGCACGGTCCTGTTCCCTCGACCGCGGTGCGGAGAGATGTGGGGCCTTCTTTGTCAACTAAATCGGATACGCTGTCGTACCCTAGGTTGCTTTCGAAAATTCTGGTAGTGTCGGACGACGAGGTGCGGATGGTTTTGGAGTTGTGGAAAGGTAGGAGCAGATGCAAGCGTGGCGCAATTGCGAATTTGATTCTTCAGCTTGGGCGATGGGATTCTGCTGGTAAAGCCTTGCAGTTGTTTGCGTGGGTGAGGGAGCAAGGTCGTCTGTGGCCCGACGATAGTATTCTGTTGGCTATTATACGGGTTGCTCTGGAATCTCGGAAGCTGACACTCGCAAATAAATTCATGACCATCTATGGACCTCTCTCCCCTGAGTCTGCTCTTGTGGCCGCCAGTGTTTATGTGGAACAGGGTTTCATTTACGATGCTTGGAGGATACTGAAATCTTTGGAGCAGAGAGGGGTTACTGCAAATTCCGAATTGTATGCGAAGATGATTGTGAAAGCTGGAGAGGCAGGTGCTAGAGACATTGTCGAAGATATAGTGGCCGGCCTGTGCTTCAGCTTGGAAGACTGCACTCGGGTGATGACCGTTTGCAGCAGATTAGGCTTAGATGAAGAGGTAGAAGCTCTGTATCTGCGTTTCTTGGAGCAGGGGTTGAAGCCAAACATTGTCATGTTTACGGCGCTGATGCAGGCTAGAGCTCGAGCAGGTAATGTGCGTCAGGCGCTGGCTTTGTTCTGGGAAATGGAGGAACAAGGAGTGAAGCCAGATCTCGTTGCTTGTCGCGTGATGATCCGTCTGTGTGAGAAGGTTGGAGATCTCAACAAAGCCGTGAAAGTGTATAATAATATGAGAATGGCGGGCTTCGTGCCGACCTCGGATGTGTACAATGTAATGATTAGGCTATACTGCAAAGAAGGGCGTCTGGCCAAAGTAAAGGAGGTGATGCGGGAAATGGAGATGTGGGGTTGCTCTCCAACCTCGGATACCAGCAAAAATCTTCTCTTTGCAGGTTACAAGCCGTCTTAACATTCACGTTTTATATTTTGGACGTTTGTATATTATATAATTTCCCAGATTGAATACATCTCTTTTGGACAGCTCCTGGCAATGGCAACTGCCTGTGCGAGTCTCTGGTATTCAGGGTCGTTATTGAATAGTAAATGAAAGCACATTGAAACCAGTGTATGGTTGTGTACTTCATCTTAGATCAATCAGTCAGGTTTATCATTCAGCGAAGGTACTCATCTACCTCCGTAGGAACGCTGGGGAATTTGCTTCAGTGCGAATCTGCCACACTTCTGCACTTTTTCTTCTGCAAAAATGGGTCTGGACTCCGTAATGCTATCTCTCATCCTTTCTTGATCATTCTACATCGCTCTACAACCGATAGGTATGAGATTTTCAAACCAAGAATGTGACGTCCATGGAGTGAGATTGTTGACTTCGTGATATGACGCCAGGCCTTGTGAGCGTATTTCATGCAATCACCAGTCAAACAGTGGCAATTACATGACGTGAACAATACACTGCTGAACTCCAAGGATATTGTTTGCCGTGGTAGAATTAGCACTGGCGACGACCCCCAGAAGTTTTTTGTTTGTATCAATGGCCAGTCCCAGTGAGTTTCGGTGTCAAAGTTTGGGATTGAGATTTTTGCATTCAAATGACCACACTGAAAGTGTCACATGGAAAATTATGAGGAACGACGTGGCTGTGTATCATAGTACAACATAGTGTGGATGTTTGAAGTTGGAAGAAAATGAAGTCTTCAAGTTAACTCTACTATAGAACTTGTTTTTGGCCAAATGTACATTTCAATCAAGGTTGAAAAATGACATAGTGAAGTGTTTTTTTTTTTTTTTTTTTTTTTTTTTTCTTTTTCTTTTTATGTTTCTTGATGTTTGTTTGTTTTGAAAATTATTAATTTTGTTATTATTATTTGATGTTGAAATTTTTATATTTGAAATGGGGAGAATCTTTTTCAAATATGTAATAGTACAAAATAACAAAGTAACAATCTTGGTGAATTTCAATCTACCTTATATCCTTGAACATCTGTAAATATAAATTCATCATCTTGGTCTTATTTTGATTTTATATTTTGTTATTATTTTAATCAGGTAATTCAAGCTTGTCGCCCGTTTACAAGTCACTCATTCATTTAAAACGAATTTCACACTTTTCTTTTCTGTTTTCCTTTAATATCCTTTTTGTCCAAATCTGTTCTGATGTGAAATTAACCAATAATTAAGAATTCCAAATTTTCAAATGTAGTTTTTAGAATGGTGCATTAAATGGTAAATATAGTATTCATAAACATCTTTGCACCTGTTACAGAATTTGATATGACAAATGAAGATGAATTTATATGATAGTAATTGATTGAATGGTAAAATAAACCATTTAGGTCGAAATCTAATTATAGGTTGAAAAAAGCATTATTAAACTAATCATGATGTAAACAATTCTGAGTAATTCACATTGGATTTCGAATACTTAATCACTTAAATCTTTAAAATAATTACATTTAATGTTTTCTAGATTTAACTAGTTTTTTTTTTTTTTTTTTTTTTTTTTTAAACATGTGTTATAGGCTAAAAGTCATTTTGGTTTACAAAAAACTTAAATTAAAATGAAGAATTTTCATATTTAAAATTTGGTAAGCTCTATTTATGTGTAATTTTTATTTTGTAAAAGATAAAATTTTAGTAATTCAAAATTAATATTATTAGATATTAGATATGCTTTAGAATAAACAACACAATTTTATTTACACAATAAATATGCTATACAATAAATTTAATTTCTTTTCTACCAATCTCTCAATGTTAAGAAATTCAAATATATATACATTATACTTTACTTGATGGCAATACAAGGAAATACAATGAACTTTAATGAAACAAACTTGATGGAACCTAAGGCAAGACAACTTTTGCCTAGTCTTTACGAGGTTGCAACCTTGACCAAAATTAAATTTTACAACTTCTAAAATAGACAACATTCTTATTCGCTTGAACCCAAAAAATTTGACTTGTTGTCGTCAACTCTTTGAAATTTGAAACTTCTTATACACATGTACAATGTTATGGACGGTTGTACTAATGGGTACAAAAATGATATTATATAAAAGTATAACTAACTTTTGAAGCAAATCTTGATCCATGCAAAGATTATACTATATAAAGTTAACTCCTCTATTGATTTTTGTATCTTCAAGGGTGATATAATAAGATTAAATCTCTTTATTTGTATTGAAGATAGAAAAAATTAAAGAAGATGGCAATAAAATAATGTTTGCAATTAACCAAGTGGCTTATTTAGATGTGTAGCAAACTATATAATCAGTTTTGTAACAATAAATTAAATGCCAATATTTTGGTATTGTGTCTAAAAGCAAGAATGATAATGTAAAACTATAATTAGAAAAATTTAAGAAATATATTAACCAATTTAAATTAATTATAAAAATCATGATTATATATATACATACATACATATATGCTTCAAATTGAGATTTCTTTAATAATTTAGTATTCATCAATTGTGAATGTGGTGTTTTATTTTCTTTTTTATTTTACAAAAAAAAATACTATAATTTTCTTGTTCTATATTTTAAAGAGTATGGATATGATGCTAGTTGTGATGCTTTATTCCTCATAATATATATATATCTCTCTCCTTGAAACAAAGTGCTTGTCCAACTTGTCCTTCATTCATCACAATTTCTCATTGGAAAAACAAAGCCTCGATCTAAATTCTTCGCATTATTTTGATGACCAAAAGTTGACATTTAAGAGAACTTTTACCTCAATTCAAGAGACCCTTTACCCGAATGTAAGTGTGTAAGTATCTGTAACTAATAACTCTAGCAATCCATATATATATATATATATATATATATATACACACCTAATAAATTAAAAAAATAAATAACTGGATAAGTACCTTTTTCAAAGAAACAACATTCCACACTGAAACGAGTATGAGTACTCAAACCCTAAAAGCAATCTCCACAAACATTGCAATATTTTGCAGAATGTGGAAGAAAACAACAAAAAGAAAAAAGAAAAAAGAAGTAAAAAGGAATGTTGGAGTGAAGAACAAGTGAATGAGGAGGATAGGTTAACAAGGCTCACACCATTTATTTATGTTACTTTTGAATAATGTCTACCTCTCTCTCTCTCTCTCTCTCCCTCCTGAAACAATGCTGACATGGCACTAACTAGGGGCTGGGCTTGTGCCGCGTCAGCATGACGACACTCATCCTGCCCACAAACACTCAATAACACAATGAAACAAAACAAAACAAAAGGCTTCCTTCCTTCCCTTCCTGCCACAGAGAAGTTGTAAAATCATGAAGGGAACGGAAACATACATTTGTAGTGTTATAGAGAATGGGGATTAATTAATTGATTGATAAATTGTGGTGTGATTAGCCTACACTGGGATGCTTCTTCATCCTTCTGATCAGATCTGAGAGAGAGTGAAACCGCCAACTCTGGCGGCATTTGGCCCTCCCCGCAGCTCCACTCCAAATTTAGGTATTTGACGGCAGTACTGGAGGACCCAATTTAGAGTAAGAGTAGGGAGGACGTGTTCCTCTTGTCCCATTGACACCACAATTTTGGGAGACTGGGTGGGAATGATTTAGAGCTGTGAGGCGGTGTCCCCAGTTAGCCCATTATCATTCCAGCTGCTGTTGCTGCTGCTACAAGATTGTTGTGTCCAGTAAGTAATTGCACACTGCTGCCGCTGCTGCGAGTGTGTGTGTGTGTATGTGAGAGGGAGAGTTTGCTATACTGGAGGCCAGTTGGGTGACCCGAAGACGGAGTGGCCAGTTGTGTGCTGTTGCGAAGCTGAGCGCAGGAGACAAAACTCCTCCAGAGGGACTCGTGGGGTGAGAAATTCATGGCCTGATCCGCTGCATGAGTGTGTTTTTATTTATTGTAGCTGTCGTTCCATTGGAGTGAGAATTAGAAAGAATCGGGATGGTCGCTCTAATGGTATGTGTTGGTGTGTGCAGGTCTGATTCCATGGAGGGACAGCTAATCCATGAGGCTGGCCATGTTGATTATGCCCTTGCTACGGTTCCAGTTGGAACGCAGGGTGCTGCAGCGATGGACCCCCGTCGTCGCAACAACAACAACAACAACAGGGCTTCCAGTGGCCATGGAATCGTCGAGGATCTCCTCGCAGACCTTCCGCCGCCGTGGCGGCTACAAATGTTTCCTCGGATCAGTTGTCCTACTCTTCCTCGCGAGGAGGAGGAGGACAACTGATCGATCATCACCGATTCCGCCTTCTCGCATACACCGCTTCGAAGAAGGACGGATGTTCTCTCGCGTGGGAGAGCATGTTGGCTAAGAGAGACTGCATATGATGTGTGAGCAAGTCGTAAAAATGATCAATGGGAGGTAAACGACTTCGCCGCATCGACAACACTTAGAAAGCAATGTCTAATTACTTTCTAAGTTTTAGTTTCGTTTGTTTTTTTCAGTTTTTATTGTGTGTTTTATTGTGTGTCCGGAAAAGAAAAAAAGCGAAAAAAAAAAAAAAAAAAAAAAAGTTGCTCGCTCTCGCGCTGCAAAAGCACAGGGAGGGGGTCATATCTTTGTTGTAGCTCAATCGGGACTTGTAGTAGTGCCTTTACCTGCTCGAATTTAATTTGCACATGCAATACATACGTTTCCGTCGTAATGGCGACGGGTTTACTCACGCAGACATGTTTTCGATTCTTTGGTTCTTCTCACATTTCTTGCTTCGGTACATGATGGTGATTTGAAACCTCGTGCTTGATCGCTGGATGTTAGGGTTAGGCAGAAAGTTTGTGTTACTACAGGGAAAATCCGTCACGAAGTATCGCTTTTGCACGAATTGCGTTGGTTGCGATTGACGACACGCACGCAACACACGAACAATGGCGGAGGTAAATGGAATCTGTGCAATTTTTGAGGCATGTATTATGAGTACACACCAAACAAGGTCTGCGTGAGCTTGAACGGCCAGTTTTTTTATTAAAAAAAAAAACATGAGTGCGGAGAATCCGACAAGGAGGTCGAGGCGTGTTCTGAGGTGAAGAATTTTAAAGATTTCCTGATTCCAATTTGGATTTCCAGATCAAAACCTCCCCTGTGTTTGTTTGTCAGTATTCCCGACAGGGTATTATTGCGTAGCTTGAGGAAGTGATTCATCGTTTCTGCTGTCTTAAACACAGTCTGCTCCCACATAACATCCACGACGATTGTTCCGTCTTTGTTTAAACTCACTCGGATCGGTATCACCCTGACCTGCTCGGACGTGATTTTGTAAATGCAACACAGACGTTATTGGCGTCTTGAATTGTCGGATTGTTTGCTTATGAAGGTTCATCTTTAAGGTTCTTTGTTTACCTCGGCTCTCCTGCTTCGGTACAAGAGGATGATTTAAACCTTCGTGCTTGAACGCTAGAATGTCCTCAGTTTGATTATTCTGTTTCTAGCATAGTCGCATTGTAAGTAGCTTGTCGTGAAGAGACATAACCTCTTTCGCCACAGCCACGATATGAACAAACCCTCAGATTGTTGTAAAGACTGTACCACTAATTGATGAGATTTCCCACCGTCTTTGTTCATCTACACCCGCTTTGCATTCCATGTTGTTCCAGTGGGAAAGCTTTCAATTCGTGAAATGGTGGCGATGATGATGCTGGTGTGAAGATTATTTGTGGCTTGTTGTGTACTCTAGAGCAGGATGTCCAAGTTATCAATGGCTATCTCAGAGTGTCTACATTGCCTATTATTTTATCCTGCTCTTCACACCATGAACCTTCTTCATGAAGTTCTAACTGAGGTCTTGTGTGGATGCAAAACCATGGGTCTAATTTTGGTTTATTTTGTGTTTTTGTGAATAGTAACAGCAAATCATAACCATGGTTTATAACCATGGTTTATAAGTGGCAATTGATTTGCCATTTTTCCGAGAACTATCCCTTTGAACCAGATGAATTGTGCCCTAGACACAACATAAAACTGAACAGGACAAGGTTGTGACAAGAATTCATGATCCATGTGCACTGCTGCATGAAAGTAAGCCCTTACCAAACAGGTTGAAGATTTCAAGAGATTTCTTAAGCCCTACTTGCAACGAAGGAACAAACAATCTGGATTTAATTCTGTTCTTCCTATCGAGAGGAAAAAATGGTATGTTTACAGAGTAGAACCTTTACACAAACATGGTGTGAAGGTCTGTTGTCTATAAAACATAAACATAAAAAAATAAAAATAAACATATGTTTCAATTCAGTGCACAAAGGTTACCGAACTGGTGCAATGGCAACTTAAGCATGGGTTCTCTACGAAGAGCTCTCCTCACCAGAATTTCGATGTGAGTATATTAATGTTAATAAATATAACAATACAAATAATTCACAAGCTTGAAAATGTCATGTTGGTGTCTAGTATTCACCCACCAGTTATCGTGTTCTATTCCACTTAGTCGGTACACTTGGGGTAAAAGAAAACACCCTCTTTTTAGGTCTTTGTTTTCACATACTTTCAAGCAATCGGCCAGGTCAGAATGCAATCCTTTTGCTGAGCCAGTGTGTCAGCAGGAACATTTTAATTGTTTTTTTCTCTCTCTGTTAAATGAGCCTCTTACATTTAGACTTTATTTTAAAAATTACAATTTTGATTATTTCTGTTTTTTGACCCAGAAAGTGAGGATTCCTGTGAGAACTTGTCAGCTAAAATCTAATATTGGCCGTATCCACCGCCCACCCACCGCCCAAATCTTAACCCAATGAACTGCTGCAGAACAAAATAAAAAATCACCATTATATACATAAACATGTTGAAAATATTATTTATAGGCATTTTAATTGAATTTATAGTTATTACAGTACATGGGTGTATTTATATATTTATATTTACACAAAAATGTACACAATGGCTTTTACTTCACAATATACCTTGGAACATTTCCAACTCTGGTAGAAAACATATATATTTCTCAGGTTCACTTTTAACAAAACGTTATAAATTGCTACAGGAAAACATCAATAGTGAGGAATCAGATCTGTGAGTAAAAGTATGTGAGGTTTTGGAACCTGATTGTATTCCATTACTAGTGGGAAAGACTAATTCAAATTTTTTAATGCTTAGATCAAAACTGATTCATGCTTGTCAAATAATCAATTCCAGTCTCATTAATATGAAAACAAAACAAACAAACAAAATAAATACATACATACACACACTCAAAAACAAAAAAAAAACAAAAACAAACAAACAAACAAAAATTAATCAATTAACCCATTCATTCCCAATTCACACTCTGAGTGCAGTTGCCAAAGCATCTAGATAAAAGGAAAGGAAGACATAAGTTCCCTCTTGAATGATCAGTAGAAGAATGTCTGAGACATTCACAGCAGCCCTGTGCTCATGATGCAGCTTTTGCAGTGGCCTTGCTTCACATGACTTCTTATGAAGTAAACCAATGAAGTATACTCCAGCTGTTTTCATGGAATATATGAACTTCCAGACACTCTCACACACAACATTTGAAGCTTGACCACATTTGTGGCATTCTTCAAACCTCAATCCCCAAACCCAATTCCCACTCCAATACCTTTCATGAAACAGTAAGACACTGCTAAATTTACATCCAACCAAGTGTGTTCATGGCTATATATAGTATTGGTGTACACATAATGAATAATGAGTCCCTTGTCTGTGGGAAAGGGAAATTGGAAGGCAGTAGGCACAGGATTCCTGCTCCACTTTGCACCCCCCCCCCTTTTGATAAATTTGGACATATATACAGATAGATCCAACCCCAAAATCTCAGTTGAATATAGACTCATTCCTACCATGTCAACCATGGTCTTTGCTGCTTGTTGTTCACTTTAAATTTTTCTACATAAATATGAAAATAATAATAATAATAATAATAATAACTAATTAATTAGCCCTAAACATGTGAACATGGTCCTCAATGGCCCTATTGTGTTGAATGTTGGTAGGATGGGTTTTAATGTTTTAAATTGGCCTTGCAGAGGTGGGCAGTTAATAACCCCACCACAGCTGGCATATCCATGCTCAGGGTCCACAGTTTGCAATGTAATAAACAAAGAAAGATTAAAATACAAACAAACAACTTTGGTGGAAATTGTGCCTTTGCAACTTCGGGTAAATAGACTGGGTCAAAACCACAAGACTGGAATTGGAGGACCTATAAGTCTAGATGGCAGGCTCAAAGTTGACTAGTAGGGGGGCGGCCAAAGGAGGCAGAGGAGGAGACCAATTGTATGTGGGATTTAGTGATGGAATAGGTCACCATGTGCCTAATTTTAAAAGTACCCACTAGTAATGAATGAATGTACCTGTTTTTAAATATGGGATATATGAACAAGTCTTCCAAGAATATATATATATATATATATGATATGCTGAAATGGGGGAAGGAAACTGCTCCCACTCCTCCAATGTCCAGGCTCTTTCATAGCCTCCTTCCCTCCAGCTGCAAGTGTTATTGAGTTTTTTCAGTCTCATAGTCTCCTGGACTCTCATTGTCTACTTAATTTAGAGAATTCATCTTCAAGACATTCAAGTTGTGAGTCATGTTGTGGATAATCTTACATCCATGGGAGTATAGTTCTAAAGTCTGCATTGATTCTGAAAAGGAGTATGTTGTTATGTGCACTCCTCCACTGTTGATCTCATTTGTGCTGTTTAACATTGAAGAAGTGAAACCTGGATTTGAATGGATCATTTTGAAGTTTTGAAGGGCACTCTTATGCCCACAATTACATGTATTGTTTGTATGTGTACAATGTTATATTTGTTTGATAAGAAACTCAATTTTTTTTTTGATGAAAAAGAAAAAGAAAAAGGAAAAAAGAAAAGAAAAAACTGTGCTAAAACTTCAAGGAGTCAAGTTGTGTTGAGAAAATAATGATAATGATAATGGTGGCACACATCAACAATTAGAATGAGTACATAAGTTTCAAAGATTCAAAGTTAACATCATTTGACACATGGATTGAATATTCATTTTGGAAACAAATAAAGAAAAAACATAGAATAACCAGAATTGCTAAAATCCCAAAATTAATATTCAAACTACATTACTTGTGCATTGTAATGGGGTTTCTCTGCAATAAATAAATAAATAAATAAATGGATGTGTAAATATATATAAACAGGACACTATGTTCACCTTGGACTAACAATGCTCTTCCAAAACAGTGGCATAAAATCACTTTAGCTATTTCAAATAACAAAAACTGTCATACATATTTCCAACAAACAAATGTCATTCAATTATTTGCATGCAAATAAAACTTTCATTGAATTACTCATCACAAACACAGATAAAATTTCAACCTGTAGAAATCCATAATTTGAATAAGATCAAATAGTTACTAATAGTTGTAGAACTTATCTCATTTTAATCAACACCCATATTGAAAAACTTCATAAGCATCCAAAATACACTACCTTTGTTTCAACTGGTTTCACTACTAAATAAACCATTAAGCATGTTGGAGGTAGGGAATTCTGCACAAGCAGCAAACCAAAGACACAACACACACACATTTATAGTATAAAAATCAACCACTAGCTCCACACACTTTTTGCAAAATGGCATCCAAGTGTCTAGAATGTTCCACTTCTAATATGAATCTCATGACAGGGAGAATGTAGATAAAGCATGGCCCAGCCAAAGCATCTTCATCAAGGGCACTCCTGGTAATGGGCTTTTTTCCTCAATGAAAATTCTAAATCCTGTGTTTGAGTAGAGCTGACCTGTCCAACCCTAATATTCCAAATATTAGAAACAGATTGAATGAAATGAAGTTGAGTCAAATTTTATTCAAAAAAAAAAAAAAAAAAAAAAAAAAAAAACACTTCTTTACCTTGAGTAGAATTAGAGACTATATTCATTAAAAAGAAGAACAAGATTTTATCCCGTTTTTCTTAAATAGATTTGTAGACATGGATGGACACAAGTTTTAACAATTTGAAATTACCTCCCTTGAGCTTTACAATCAGATGAAAGTTAATGGATTTTGTGTATTTACTTGTTTATAAAATTTTCACTTTACAATTTCTACAATTTTTTAATGAATGTGTTTAAAGTATTTTGTATAGCTCTATGGTTGATGCGAAGATAGAGTAACCAATATTCATAACACGCTTTATTCTCATTTTCATTTTATAGAAACAAACAAACAAATGGAAGTTTCATGGGTATGGGCTACATTCGTCTCCGTGAAAGGTCAGGAGTGTTTCACCGTGTCTCAGTGGTGTGGTATACATCGCCGCCGCCGACCTATGCCCACCGCCACCCTATCTCCGAGGCCGACCTATCTTGCTCTATTTTGGTGGACCAACTCTCTCTGTGTGTGAGAAATACAAATACCAGCCCGAGATCTGCATTTCAGATTTGTTGCACACTCCCTGCTGTAGTCAAAATCCCGATGGATTTCTTATTTCTTGCCTTGTTTTCTTTCTGTAGATCGATGGCAGTGAAGCAGAATGAGAACTAGTTCTGTTTTCTGGCGCAACTTTGATGGCGAGACGGTGTTGTTTGTGGATAAACCTCAGCCTGTATCTTCAGGAAAGAGGTACACAATGAATCAGTTCAACTCTGCATCTGGTGACAGATCAAACTGCCTTCGTTCGGCGCACTCGGAAGTATGAAATGCTGCTTCAATAATCTGATCTTACAGCGTTTGTGAAAGACTTCGTTTACTGGTGAAGTCAGTGGCCGAAGAGTATAGCTTCTACAACTTTCAGTTCGAGTGTTTCGAAGGAACTCATTCAGTGGCTGTGTGTTTTCAGGCAGTCTTCCTGATCCATGTATTGTTTCGGATTCTCAGACTCAAGCGATCACAGTTTTTTTGTACGGTAACTAATCAGCTGGCTACCTTTTCTTCAACGTCTTTCATTTACTTGACAATCGAGTAGAACAGGGCCTGTTCTAAGTAGTGTACGTGCTCAACATTCCGAAGATTTTGACACTTTTTATGCAGTGGCGCTTCTGTCACTGATGGACATTACAGCGAGGAGGCGAAATGTTCGGTGCAGTTGAGTGGCGTTCTCTGAGAGGAGAGAAAGTGTTAACTGCAGCTACCTTAGGGAGCTATTCTTAAATGTAATGAGCTCATAACTTCTTTCAAGTTTGTTCGATTATACATTCGTAAGTTTTGTACTTCTGCGTCGAGAAAGGAACCCTTAGAGGCGACTAATTGAAGCTGAAATGAAGACTTGTCAGGCTGGTTTTAAGATTGGCCTGTCACCTACTTTGATCATTAGGCCGTGCGGTTGTTTTTCAGTATTTTCTCTGTTGTTCTTTCTTTTTCAGGTTTTACATTCTGTTCATGAAATCATCCCGCCAGACAGTTCCTGCTCAGAGTGTAGTGGTAATGACCAAAGGTGTGTTGAGGGTTGTGCGCCTAATCTTGTTTATTTGTTTATTTGATTTTTCTGATTCTTCCAGCAGCTGAGAAGTTTTGGTATTCAGATGAGGACATTGAGGTAGTGAAAACGTCAAGTGGACAGTCTAAAACTATTACTTTGCTTAGACACTGAAAAAAGAAATTCATTCAATTTACAAAGAAATTGTATACCGAATTACTTAATTTAACAAACATCAAGACGTTTTTGATGAACTAGTTTTGTGATCCATTAAAATAAAAAATTCAACCTATAACTTCAACTTATTATAGGATGTGGATCATTGGTGGATAATCTAATAGACTCTAAATATTTTAGTATTCTTTGAAACAATGATTCATTTCAATGTAAACAAATTCAATGCTTTTTATCTGTAATTTTTAAGAGGTGAATAATCCACAACTTGAAAGATTTTAAGTGCTGTAGAAAAAGACATAATCATCTTTCTTATTTTGAGATAAATTAAAATTTTCATATTGGTATGAGTTGTCTTGCCAAAATATTGAACATATTATATATTACTAATTTTAACTATAGTAAAAAAATACCAATGTTTACTATTATTCATTTTAAAATTAATATTATTAATATTTTATTTTTGAAATAGTAAATTTTAATTTTATACAATTTTGATGCATTTTAGAAAAGTTTTGTTATATATGCAAAACATGCAATGTAAATTCTACAACAACTAACAAGTTTAAAATCTTACAACTACAAAATTATTCAATGTTTGAATGTTTTACAAGGTTTGAAGTTATGAATTAATATCAAATATGCAATATTTTCATAATTATGTTATCAATCTTCAAGAATAAATATAATTTCTATTTGGACCTTTCTTTAATTAATTATAAAATAAGATAGCCATCTTTAAAGAATACATTGACTAGAATCTTACAATAACATGAAGAAATATATAAAATTTATATTTTTTCTATTTCCACAAAATTTTTTATTTTAAAAAGTAACATAGATCATTTCAAGTAACTTTAATCTTTTGTACAACAATAAAAGAATATAAAATATTATTAATTAATTTGATTTTTTAAATATTGAGTAGATTTTGTCTTTTAAAAAGTTTTAGATGGCTAAAAAGAACTATATATATATATATATATATATATATATATATATATATATATATATGTATATCAAAACTTTAAAAACTAAAAAAATCAAATTTATTATATATTACTTAAGCTTAATGATACACAAGCATATGCTATGATATTTAATACTTTTAAAGATTTCATAAATGCTATTAAATTTTGTTAAAATTTACTTTTCAAGTTGATATTTAACTTTTATAACTAAGTTGTGAAGAAAAGCCAATTTAATAAAAAGACAAAAGTAAAATTTAAGAAACTTTAAAATCTATATCTATTACTATTTTAATTTTATATTTTTAAGATTTATAAGCTCTAATTTTTATAAAATCAAAATGTATTATGTTTTATTTTATATTTGTTTTTTTTACAAATAAAATTTTATAATTGACTTTATTTTATTTTATTTTTTTATTTCAAAAAGTTTTAAGTTTAAAATTAATTTATAGATTTACAATAAATTATACTTTAAATTTATAGATTTATTTAAAGAATAGTGATATTACCTAATTTTTAAAAATTCTTTTAATATTCTTTTTAAAAATTATTTTTTATAAAATATGACATAATAATTATATTCTAAAAATATTATTCTACTTACTATTTTGGTTATTAAAGAATATTCTATTAGATATTAGATGTATTATTTTTTTGGTTTTTTTCATCTTGTTCTAGAGCTTGTTTTTAATTCATATGATTGTAATTATAATCTAACTTATAACAAGTTTATATATTAGCCAAAGTCATTTAGTTGATAAATTTCTTAAATGATCTAATTTCTCAAAAAATATGTAAATATATTATCAAGCTTCTATATTTATTTGCTAAAAACCTTCTTTTATCTATTATTCTATTTGCTATAAAAGATTGAATTTGATACTTTCTACCTTGATTTGCAATTAAATGAGTTTAATAAAATAAATCTTTATATATTTGATTTAACATTATGTTGTATTAATATAATAATTATAATAAAAAAATTTGGTTTTTTTTAAAGTAATTTTATATATTATTAAAATTATTTTTTTAAAGTTTTACTTTAATTTTTATATATTTAACTTATTCTAAAACTATCTTATTGGCTCTTCTTTATCTATTTAGGTATTATTTTGGCATAATTTTTATACTTACTATCATTGATGATACCATAATTAATTATTATTTTTTATTAAAGAATAATATTTTTAATCTAATATTACTAAAGATTTGAGTTTTTAATCAATTGCATAGAATCTATTTGATAATAATTATATATCAAACCTTTTAAATATCTTTGATCTTTAATTTTTTTAATTGATAGATATTTATTTATTTTTATAGATTTTTATGTTTAAAATCTACTAATATAAGTAGAAGTAGTGTTGATATTATAATAATATATATATATATATATATATATATATATATATATATATATATATATATATATATATATAATTGTTGTTGCTAATAAAGTTGGTTTTTTTCTTCAAATTAAAGTAATATTTTATATATACATCATTATTACAAGTGGTAGTAGTTATGTTTCTATTTCATTTTTATATCCTAATGAAATATTCAAATTATCCAACAATAAAGGCTTAGACTATAGATTTAAATCTCTTTAATTTTTTTGGTTATTATATCTATTTTTAAACTTCTACTATTGTTGTTTCTTTGAATCTTTTACTTAGTATTGTCTATATAATTTTCTTCTTCTTCTTCTTCTTCTTCTTATTTTTATTTTTATCTTTTAAGTTGTCATATATTTTAAATTTGTCTTTTAAATTTAATTTTTTTATATATATTTATTGCTAAATATTTATCAATAGAATAAAGTGTTTTATTTTTTATTTTAAATATTATCTCTAAATTTATTATGTAATTTAAGAAAACTTATCTTTTAGTTGTTTTAGAAATTAAGACCAACTTAATTAAATTATTATTTTAATAGGTACTTGTAATAATTTTTAATTAAAAATATTTTTAAAAATTATAGCTATTTTTAAATATAAAATAATATCTATTTATATTACTAATTAATATTATTTTTTATTTTACTTTTGATACTTTTGATTGTTTAATTTATTAGACTTGCTTTGGTGATGATTTGCTTATTTTTATTTTTATATTTAAAATATTTAATATATATATATATATATATATATATATATAATTTTTATTGATGATAATGTATAATATTTATAATTAAAATTTATTATTTGAGCTTTGGTAAAATTTTCTATTCATAAATTTCTTTAATATTCTTTATTGAAGTTATTCACAAATTTAGTCAAAATTTAGAAACTAAAATAAAAAAATTTAACTCAACTCATTGTCAAGGACATGAATCTTAAAAGAAGAAATCTTCAATACACTCTTGTGTCATTGAAAAGAATTAGAAAGTCACTCAAAGATGATATAATATTGAACTAGAGTGGCTATTGCCAAAAACAAGAGCATTAGAAAATCTTGAAACAAGACTAAGGACTAGAAAGGTATTGACAAGAGTCAAGAAGACTTCACTCTTGCTTCCATATATACTCTTAAATAGAAGCTATGTGGCAATGTTCTATAGGACCTCTAAAATATGTTGACTTTGCAAGTAACAAGAACATGAATTGAAAGAAAATGCATATATCTAAGAAATTTGTGTAAAAAAAAAGTAAAAAAATAAAAATAAAGTAGTATATATATTAAAAAGAAACTAGAATGGATATTGCCAAAAGACAAGGAAACTAAAGACTCTTGAATCTAGACTAGAAGCAAGAAAAGAGTTGACAAAATTGAAGAAGGTTTCATTCTTGCCTCTATATATATTATCTACCTATGATCTATGTGGCGATGTTCTATAAGACCTCCAAAAATGTCTTGACTTTGTATGACATGTATCTTGGCTTATAAGGCAAGTTTTCTATATGGCTACTACATAATAAGCTTGTTCTACAAGCTATCAACACATGTGATACATAGATATCTTATTGACAAAGTTTCTAACCTATCAATCAACTACAAACATATGTAAAGTTAAAACAACATCTAAAAAGCTTCTAAGAGACTTCTCTACAAAGTATTATAAAATTAATCTATTTTTATGTAATTCTACCTATTTATGTAATGAATAGGTATATATCCGTAACATTACTTTTCTTTCTAGGAACGAGTTCCATGAGGAGCGGTGAACATATATTGAAGAAGTTTAAAATGTAGCAAATAATATTTGCCATGTATTTTGAACTTTGTTCCCTTTAAAGGTATTTGACAAATCCTCTCAACCATTGGTAATACTTCATTCCAAGGCAAAAAGACCACCTTATGATTTGATCATTATTGAAGCCTTTATAACTTCCTTTAAACAAAATATTTGCAACACCATCAAGAGTTGTGTTAATCTCTAATAAAATCATTAAACGTTGAGTCTTTTCTTAGATTGTGATATCAGACACATTATATTTGACTATCTATTTGAGGAAGAACATGTCATTTTTGAAGGTCTTTATGCCTATTATGTTGTCTTGAAGGTTGTAATAATCACAATGTCTTGTCTGATAAATCAACAAATAATGGTTTTTGAGTTGAATCTACCAATTATTGGTACTCTATCTCTTTAACACCAAAATTATACAAAAATTACAAATAAAAATAGAAGGTAGAATGCAATCTTTGATGAATTATATTTTATTTATAGAAAATATTTGCTATCCTTCATCTTGATTTTGATGGATGTTATTCATAAAAAATTCTACCATTATTGTTGCATTTGCAAGATTTTTTGCTAGCTCCCATAAGCATTCACTAATACCATATCTGTACCAATAGACAAGATATTTCAATTTATTTTGATACTACCTTGAGTTTAGAACTTCTTCCACTTCACATTCTTGATTATTGTCTACTTTTATAGGAGAAGGTGGAACTTGACTTCTTTTTGATATATTCAGAGTCTTATATGATTTAAAGAAAGATACATAGAAGATAAGATGGATCTTCATTGACTCCAGTAGATGTAATCAATAAGCAATTATATTGATTTGTCTACAAATAGGAAAAAGTCCAAACTTGCAATAGTCCAACTTATCACAAGGACAAGTAGTTTTAATATTACAATGAAGTAACCATACCTTGTT